TCTGAAGCCTGACACAAGAAATTAAATGTGAAATTGAAATATCTCACCCAAAATTCTCTGTGAAACCAATATCCTTGTCATTTGAGATACAGATTATATAATTTGCTTATCACTCTTTCCAATTCACAATTAGCCAGAAATATACACTATCCAACTATGATTATTTGACCACTGCAAAAGCTTTGAAATAAAGTATTATTTCACAACCCCCTATATTTCGCTAATCTGTAAGTTTTCCTAAAGCTGATAAGAAGTGATCTCGCACTTTACCTGGCATTTGTAAAGCTGCAACCTTTATTAATGGTTAAGAAAGCCTGAGGGAACTGGGAGTCAGAGCTGCAAAAGCAAAGTCAGTCTACAGGCGTGCGCTCCCTTCTCAAATCTCTGGCAGAAACACAAGATATCGACATTTTTCCTGATCTGAAGGATAAGTGACTCAAAAACTCCCTAATTCACAGCATTTGCGGAGACCACAAACTCTCCACTGACAGCCAGAAACTCCAAGTCGAAAGCCTTGCTGAAACCTGGAACTACTTACATTCTGAGGTTTTCCTCACTGCCCTAGGAAGTGTTTTCAGTGGATCCAGTCAAATCTCCAAGTGCACAGAAAGACAACCAGACAGGAAGACATGGGGAGTCAGGACCCCATCCTACAGTTGCCTCGCTCCATTCGAGAAGCTCCCACAGGGAGCCTGGGGCTGTAACATCGGAATCCTGCCGGAATCCTGCCTGTAAGGGAAGCTAAGATGTTAGTTAGCTAATAAAACGCAAAAGCCAGGACATGGCCTCGGATGGTGTAAATTATCTAGTGCATTTAGCTAAGGATTATTCCCATACACAGCTTTTGAAGTAGAATATACACATCCAAGAAATCCCTGTTACAGAAGTCTCCCCTTGGAGAAGGAGGAGGAGGAAACTAGTTATTACAATAAAATGAAATGTGCTACCATGATAACGGGCAAGTTAAGGAGCAGAAATTTATGAAAGCAAAGACCCAAAATACGCTGAGAATCTGTGAAGCAAGGCGCCCTGTGCTGTGCACACGTGACCCTCAGGCGTGGGCACAAGGAAACTGCCCTGGACCCGAAGGAGCCGGGTGGTGCAAGTTAGTACAACCACGGGGGAAATCAGTGTGGAGACTCCTCAAAAGTAAAAATAGAAACTCATTCAACCAGGTGATTGCCCTTCCCACGGAGTTAGACATTGTTTCCTATTACTGTGATCCATCTATCTGTGTGTACAGTCATAATAGCTCTTGGATGCAGCCCCTATGTCCATCAGCGGAGATGAGTGGATAAAAAACATGGTATTATATAAAAATGGAGTACTAGCCTGTCATAAAAAGGGAAACTTCAGTCATCTGCAGAAAATCTATGAAACCTAAGACCACAATGCTAAGTGAAATAAATCAGACATGTAAGCTTAAATATAATGTAGTTTCTCTTAAATGAGGAACCCACAGTCTAAGTAAACTAAAGAGCAAAGTGAAAGACAGACAATAGGATGCAGGGAGATGGGGCCTTACAAGAGATAGAGGAAGGGGGCGTGGAGGGGGGAAGGGAAGGGAAAAGCACACGTGTTAAATGGGTGACCCACTCCCCGCGTAGAATATGATCATTAGGTACCACAAACACGCACTAATGAAAATTAAAATTAAATGGGGCTGGGGATTTAGCTCAGCGGCATAAGCACCTGCCTTGCAAGCAGGCAGTCGTGAGTTTGATCCCAGGTACCGATAAAAACGAAAAAAACAAAAAAAAAAAAGAAAATTAAAATTAAAAAGCAAAGTCATGTTGATATTCAACAAAAGTAAAGCCCGAGACAATTAGAAAAGTGACTTTTGGATTTTCTATATCCAAGAGATCAATTTATGAGTCAAGGTCAGAGAACAAAGAATGAAAGCAGGAAAGAAGTCGAGGCCATGACCCCAAGGACCTGGGCCGACACGAGGCACCTATTCCGGACCTGGCTGTGTGTTCTGAGCCGGGCAGTAAGGCCAGGACAGCGTGCAGAGCCCGGCAGACAGGACACGGGGTTGGGTGCTGGGCCCTTGTGGGCACCTGGCATCTGTCCTTCCTTACCCCAGGAGAAAGGTGGGCCCCCCCCCACCGCCACCTTGGATGTGGCTTGGTGGTTAGTCACAGGAGCAGAGACAGCAGCTAGGCTTGCCACGTGCATCCACGCGGAGAAAGCGGGCAGCGGGCACAGTGGACTCAGCCCTGAGTTTTACCAGCAGACATCAACAGATAAACCTCCAAAGGGTGCTGGTGTGGAGTGTCAGATCCAACAAGCCACACAACAGAGTCACCTGGGGACAGGCACCTTCTAAAGACAGACTGGCAGGTACCGCACTTTGCTGAGCTGTTCTGCAGGAAAATTCCAGCATGAGTCACCCCGCAGGGAAGTGTATGGGGCTCCCTGGATCAGACAGGAACTGCTACTTCGGAAGAGAACGCTCTGACTGTCAGGGCCCAGACAGGACAGCCAGAGCGATGCTTCCCATGGAACTGACTGGCTGCTGCTGGGAATTCGATAGGTAATCCACTGCTGTGCTTAGATGCCACACAATTGCTGGGTACTTTCCTAAAACATACTTCTTGAGAGGCTTATTCATTTCATAAAACCTCTCTGAAAACAGTCGACAACCTCTGGTAATATTCCATTCATCCCACAGGCTAACCTCTGACCCCACATTCCTCTACCTGTTTATAGCAAAACAAAGACTGGCAGAACTCTGAACCCACCACAGACAAGTGGATCAGCTAAGACTCTGGAAAAATAAGGCACGCTCACAAACACGTCTGTCTTTTCAAGTCACATTTACAACCTTGCCATCCTCAGCGTTAATGGTAAAGAATCAACGAGCCCCTGCTTAACTTACAGGAGTCCTATTTTAATAAAACACACTGAACTTTGGAACCACTGTTAAATTTGGCAGTATCACGGCTCAGGAATGGAGTGTGACGACACAGACACCCTTCCTCCGAGGCCAGCTCTGGAGCGCCATTCTCTTCCATTCCTTTCAGTTTCCTAAATCCACACACAGCACTGATTCGGTGTCCAGAACGGTGATGTGTGCAAAATCATTTTATAATGCAACCAGTTCAATAGTTAGCTCAGGCCACGCTGGAGTCTTCTCAGGCCACCGCGGTATAACAAGAGGGAAGAGACCAACACAAGCAGGTACTATATTTGCCGGTTTCACCTTCTTTTAGAAACAAAATGAAAGTGGAAACACACTAGAAGTGTCCTGGGACTGTTAGGGGAGCTCTGGGAAAGTGAAACACAGGAAATCTCTTGAATGATAAAACTCCATAACATCTTTGTAACTTTCTCTGCATAAATTCAAATTCAGAATTGCGTAGCAAGTGCCTCCTAGGGAAGAGTTCTCCGCGTGGTACAGAAAGCCAGAGCAGCCCCTAAAGGTGCTACCTGGGGAATTTCACAGTCAGAGCCCCCTCCCGGCCCCAGGGAGTGTTTCCCTTGGACTCCTCTCGCTGCATCTGGCAGGAAGCCTGTGCACCCCAACCTCTACTTAGAAGGGCAGGCGCCCCTGCTGCTGCCCTGGGCTTTCTGCCAATGCAGCCCGGTCCTGGGTGTGGCCAGGCGCCCGCAGGACCCCAGAACACTTCAACATCTGATTATGGCAGCCAAGGAGGAGGACGCTTTCTCAACTTCTGAGACGCCCCGCCCGCTCTTCATGTGGGGGGGCGTGTGGAAGGAGGGGGCCAAGGCAAGGGTACTGTCAGTCATTACAGCCACTGGTCCCTCAGATTCCGCACCCGCTGGCCTCCAGCTGTGCAGACACTCCCGGGGCTCTGCGTTAGTTGGCAGAAGACTAATTTCCGCTGGTTACTGTCCCCCTTTTGTATCATCCTCTAAAACCCTACTGAGCAGACCAGGCAGTGGGGATACAGCATCCCTGTCCATTCTCTCCATTACTAGAAACCAAAGTGACCACGTCCCATCAAAGAATCGGTGGCTGGGCAGGGCAGGGGCCTAGCTGGAGGCCTGTGCACAGCAGGTAGACAGCATGGGACCCCGTCACCTCACCGTAGTCTGGTCCTAACCTGCCAGACACCAGCCTGTGTGTGCAACCAGAGCCATCCTGTGGCTGTCACCACCCACCGTCACAAAGGTGAGGCTGAATCTCAAAATCCAAGGTTAACTTTCCCAGCCTCAGTTTACCCAGAAGCCGTCTCTGCAGCAAGCTCCTCCCCTGCCAGCCCAGCACCAACCCGGACTCCTTCCCCTGGTCCCCTTAGCTGCTTCCTTCTTAGGGATGAAGAGACTTCTGGGCCCCTGAATCTCTCCGCCTATGCCCTCAACTCTCTGAAGATACCTTAGATATTAATTTGATCATTTGCTGTCTATGGGAGGAGGCAAGGGCTAGGGTAAAAATTTGAGATCCAGGTAAAATTTGGAACAGCTCTGATATTTCACCACTGTAATGTTCATTCTGAATGTGAACAAACAGAAGCTACTCTTCTGGATCCATGCTTATTAATTAAATGAGTCTGATGTTTCTAAAACCTACAGATGATGTTTTCCAAAGCTCTCTTCTGACTACACCAGGTGGCCCAATAAGAATGCTGTCTATGTCATCTCTTTAAAAAAAAATAAATTATAAATGGGCTACTCTAAACCACAGCAAAGGTGGGGATTTCAGGAGCACACTAAGGTTCCAAATGTGTTTCACATAAATAGCGGCTAGACAACTTATCTTACTCCATCTCAGGGCCTGGAGCACAGAAAAAGGTGAGCTGGCTGGAAACACAGGAGCCGGAGTCTCGGGAACTGACCCTGGGGCTCTCGGCAAGGGACAGAGCTGGCATTTAAACGAGGGCAGTTCAGGTGAGCCAGGGACCCTGAGCACCTGCCTCAGACATATCCGCACACCAAGCCCTGCTAGGTGACAATGAGGCTGACACATAACGTGGGACACTGTGGCCAGGAGAAGCCCCCTCCCAGGACCCGGGGGTCCGCAGGCAGATACTCACGTTGACACTGTCCCCAGGAGCGTCGAGCCCAGCCCCAGCAGCAATCAATCCTCCCACCATAGCGACAGAGCCCGATCGAGGACGCCAGATGCCTGGGCCACCTGCCACACACACAAACAACAACATAAATAAACACAGACCCTGGCCACGGGAAACGGTTTTAAAGGGCATCAAACCACACCCAACAATCTGCGACAACTCTTTCATGCTTATAGAAAAATGGCTAGACACTCACTGAAATAGTTCTATGATCTAATGTCAGATCTCAGACACCCAGTGTGCTCATGCAAGTGCACACATGTACACACATATACATAAACACACACCCAGCAAACAATAGCAGGGAAGAAAATAAGAGCCTTTCCTAACTAGAATAGCAGCAGCTAAAACCAAGAATCCACAAGCCCGCCATTCACAGGGCGGCTTCTGAGACTCACATGAAACAGATTCCTCAGACTCACACCTGTTACTGGGGGGAGTGAAAACCAGTTCTGACTGATCCATCATAAACTGAAAAGTATCAAGTAATAAAAGACATGTCAAAGCAGAAGGAATTCTTTCCTCACAGCAAAGGCAGATGGGAAGGAATAGAAAGAGAAGGGGTTCCTCAGAACCAGAGGAACAGTGAGAAAACACTGAAAAAAAGAAAGGAAAAGGAAAGGGAGAAAGCAGGTACTAGAAAAAGACATCTAGATAAAACCAGAGAACTTGCAGTGTAGCAGACCGCTCCCCTGGGCTGCAGTCTGCCTGCACCAACAAATCAGTATGATGCCTGATTTTCCTCCTTAACGTGAACATGCCTAAGGCAAGCAGCGAGTTCAGGATAGACACCCCGCTTTGACCTGTCAGCTGCAAAACTGTGTCCCTGGAATTCACACCTAAGCGCCTTTTCCTCTATGAAAGATCATCTTTCTAAAGCTCCATTAAAATCACAACCCTATCTCGTTATAAATGCGCGTGCAAGAAATGCAAACACAGCCAAGCTGGAGAGAAACTGCTTCTGAAACCTCAGTTCAGTTCGGAGGCCAGGCCCCCGGCCGCCACCCCTTTCCTTCAACTTCCCGCTCCACCTGCCGCCTCCAGCCTGGCCCAAGGCCCCCGGAGCCCCAGCTCCCGCCCTCGCCGGGGGCCCAGCCGCGCGGCTTCCCGGGCACAGGAGCGCGGTGGACCAGCGGGGCGGCGTCCGGGGCTGGACGTGCGGGACGCGGTGCGGGGAGCCGGGGGCCGGCGGACCTGTCACGGCGGCCGGGCCTGCAGCGGGGCGGGCGCGCACCGACCCACGCGCAGTCCGAGCGGGGCGCGCGGTCCCCGACCCCGAGGGCGCCCGGGTCACCGGGAGGGGTCGCCGCGGCAGGCGCCGGTCGGGCCAGCGCCCCCTCCGGCCGGCTCCGCGCCCCGCTCACCTCCCGTCGAAGTCGGCGGCCGCCCGCAGGGCCAGCGCGGCGGAGAGCGCGAGCGCCAGGGCGAGCGCGGGGGACGGCGGCATGCTGCGGCGGGCGGCGGCGGCTCTGCCCGGGCCGGCGCGCTCCTCTGCGCTCCGCGGCGCCCCGCTCGCGCCGGGGGCGGTGCCGCCCGGGAGGGCGGGACGGGGCGGGGCCGGGCACCTGGGCGGGCGGACGGGACTGGACGGGGTGGCGCGGAGAGGGGAACCCCGCGGCGGGGCCGGGGCCCGGGGGCGCAGGCGCAGGCGGGGACCGTGCTTCTCCCGCGGAGCCCGTTGCCCCCGGCGCACCCGAGTTCTCGCATACGTTTCGCGACCGACCCGAAGGCTGCTGGGCTCGGGTGCCATCAGCAGAACCGCTCAGACCTGGGCCGTGTGCGCCCCCAGCTGTGGGTGCGGGGCCCCGAGGGACGCTGTGCCCGCGAGGGGTGGCGGTGCCTGGTCTTTGGGGGTCCTTGGAAACCACCGCAGCAGCACTGCTCTGTGGCCATGAGAAAAGGGCAAGGTCCCCGAATTGTCTGTTAAAACGTGGGCTCTCTGTTCCCCTGGCCTCCCTGCCCTGGGGTCACCGCGCAGCCCGCGCCTGAACCGACCCAGATGTGTGCAGGGTGCACACCTGGCTTCCCTGGGTCTCTGTTCTGAGGCCACAGCCCCAACCACACACTATCTGAGATTGTGCCTGGCGCGGCCCCCGCCCCATCCTACTTAATTTGCTTTCCTACTGCAACTCCTACCTGTGATTTGCTTATCTCCCGTGTGTGTGTCTGTGTGTCTGTGTGTCTGTGTGTCTGTGTGTGTCTGTGGTTCTTTGGGTTAGAACGCAAACTCCACAAGGGCAGGTGTTTCCTCCGGGGCCCAGAACAGTGCCAGGCACACAGGAAGTGCTGATAAACTTTTACTGAGTGAACTTGGTACATTATGCAGCTTTCCCTGTCTCTTAGAGAGTTCTGCAAATTTAAATTGCTGAAGGAAAGTCCTGTAGCAAAGTGACCTTACTATCCTGATCTCTTATTGTGTGTAAAAACAGGAATTTTCGGCAAGAAAAGGAAAAAGAAGTGTTCCAACTTAAGCAACTCTTTGATTTCCAACTTGTTTTCTGTTAGCTAAACACGTTTCTATTTTAATCTCAGGAAGCATCCATGCCAGTTCAGGCTGGGGACGTTATTTTAGGCAAACAGCTTGGTGTCATCCATTTCAGAACCTTCTAATGAAGTCCAAAAATGTAGAAGTCAAAATATTTTTTCTGCAGAAAATCAAATTTTTGTAAGAGTAATGCAGGCCTGGTTCCAGGTCCCACTGGCCACCTCCCGGTTGTTTTCCTTATTTATTGGTTCTGTGCTGGATTCACAAACAAGTGCCGCTGAAGCCCCATGACTGGGGCAGGGCTAAGCCTCGGGTCAAGGAGCAGGACTGAAGGACAGAGGAAGGGTGAGGTTTGCGGGTGGATGAGAACCTGAAGCGGGGTGCACGGCCCCTTCTGTGCTTCTTCCCTCTCTATTTCCTTGGGTCTGGAAAGCCCTTCTCCCAGGAAGCCCTCTCTGACCCGGAGATGGCTGACATTTGCAGGCTGTAATTCTTGTTTGTTTTGTGTTTTGTCTTTTTGAGACAGGGTCTCACTATGCAGTCCAGGCTGGCCTTCAGCTCACTTTGTAGCCCAGGCTGCCTCAAATTCACAGCAATCCCCCTGCCTCAGCCTCCCAAGTGCTGGGATTATAGACGTGCATCACCACTGTGGGCTGGGCTTTCATAGCATCACCTGGCCGGGCAAGAGGAGCTGCTGGCGGCCTGTGCCGTGACTGCCTGTCCACCACCCTGGGCCCGGGGGAGACAGCGTCTAACAGGGCAGCCATGCCTGTGTTGTACCCACGCTGTCTGGCACAAGGCAAAGGCCAGTGAGTAATGAATAGACCGGACTGGATTGATTCCAACTCTTTCTGGAGAATTTTAGCTTCTCCCTTAAGCAGGACCTATTATATGAGTTTCTGTTGAATCACAGAATAAGGAGGCTCCAGGACTCCCAGGACCTAACCGGATATCACACACAGTTATGGCCGCCAGTGATCATTCACAGGTGCCATTTCTCCAAGTGCTGGCGACCAAGCCCAGGTTCTCACGTGTGCTGAGCAAGCTACATCCTCAGCCCCACCATCGCAGCCTTAAAACAGATGAGCAAAAGGAGACCAAATGTCATCCAGTATGACAAAATTTCGGTGAGGGGCCCCGCCATGTGATGCCACCTCATAAGTAGTAACCCCACTTTTCCCGTGCCTCCGCCATGTGATGCCACCTCATAAGTAGTAACCCCACTTTTCCCGTGCACAAATAGCTACCTGTCCTTGGTTATAGGGATGGTACACATAAACGGCAAAATAGAATCAAACCAATCTAACTGCAAACATTTGGAAGTTAGAAGCTCATAATTAGGTTTTTCCCCAACAAATATTCCTCAGGAGCCTACGGTGTATTCACCAGGTCTAGTGCTAGGACAAGCTGGGAACAAGATTAAATTCTGCCCTGAGAGTTTCTATTCTAGTGAGGAGCGAGACAGTGCTATGCAGAGAGCAAGATGTAAAGAGAGGATAAAGGAAGGTTAAGGCAACAGAAATGCCAGGAGGCTGTGACGGGCAGTGGAATGGTTCGTTCACCAGAAAGGGGACCCCTGAGCCAGGGCCTCGTGAGGCGGGGTGGGCGGTGCTCCAGGCAGTGGCAGTGCAAGATGCGTTTTCTCTGTCAAATGTGAAACAACGTCTCACAGTATTGTCAGAGGCACAGATCATCGAGCTGTTGCTCCCTCCACACATGCAGGGTGGTGACAAGGACACACGGTTATGCTTTTGAAAACCCCTTTAAGAGAAAGGAACTCACAGCTGCTGGTTCATGGCAATTTTGACTCCCCATTGAGCAAGAATTCTGGGAAACCCTGCTGGGGCAGGGGAGAAAGCACTGGGACAGCCAGGAGAGTCACCCTGTGTTAGGGTTTATATGCAGATGTCCCCTCCATGACTCATGCCATGAAGGGTGAGGGACTGCAGGAGGCCATGGGGTTCAGGGCTGGCTTGGCCTGGGAGGAAGAGGCAGCTCACTGGGGCCTGACTTGCAAGGGTGAATCTCTCTCCTGGCTCCTCCCTCTTCTCTTGGCTTCCTGGCCACCATGAGTTAAGCAGCCCTCCTCCGCCAGACCCTCTCCTGCCTTAGAGGCGGCCACATAATGACTAAAAATAGGAGTTAAGTTGTGGGTGTCCAGTGTTGGGTCTCAGGAATAGGAAAGTGACCAAATCACCCTGCTTCTCTAGGAGAGTCTCTCCGTAATGTTCCCTGCCATAGCAGCAGTCCCGTTAGAGCACAGCATATGCTCTCTTTCGGGGCCACACAACTCGTGAGTTTTCTCTTGCACAAATATAAAGGCTTGGATATTGCTTCAAGAAACAGAGACAGGCGTTATCCAGTCAGACACAAGGTTTCTGTAGTGACCAAATATCCTTAAAACCTCCTTAAAGCTCAATGGGCTTCTTCCATTCTGAGTTTTCCTGGTCAGTTCCTTATGCAGAAAATCCCAGCCTAAGTCCCTTCTCGTCCTGGCTCCTCGGCTTTATTTCTGTGCTTCCTTGTGTCATGCTTCACCCTTTCATCTCAGTGGAGGCCACTGCGAGACACCCTGAGATCACAGGGTCCTTTGGGAGGAAGCGCCCTTTCTCCGACCCTTGACATGAGGCCCAAGTCCCAGATTTTTGTTAATGTGTGGGACACAAAGGGATCTGTCTTGCTCAACTTTGGCAAGCCTCAACTTTATAAAAATTTTCATCCTCTTCCATTTCTGCTTATGAAGCAAACAGCTCTTCCCTGAGCTCGTTTCTTTCTTGTGATACCTTACTAAAAGCAGGGCACAGCAAAATACACTGACACTGTCACTTTTACAACCCTGTGCCCTGGAAACGGATATACAGTGATGTCTTGCTCTGTTGTCCTATCTTGCATTGCAGCCTGCATGTTGGAAAACACCAGGTTTCCACTGAGATGTCCCTTCTGGGACTTTAACAACATAATGGAAGTTGTGTTCTCATCATGTGGTAGAAGCAAGTGTGTTAGCGGGCAGGCCACTCTGTGTCATGCAGCCATTATGCTCTCAGGCTGAGTGACTGCCACAGAAATTCAGGCTGGCAGCAAGTGTGGAGAGGCTGTTTCCAGGCCAAGATACAGCTCCAATCTCTGCCACTCCCCTGACCTGAAAGGTCATCGCTGTTCACAGCCATCGCCCAGCCCGATGCCCAGCTCCTCTCTGTCCCAGAATTGGGGAGCAGGGAGCACACCTCCACCCACAGACTGACAAGCTGTCTGTAGATGTTCAGACACACAGTTCACATCAGCAGGTCTGGATGTGCCAGAGGAGTTGGGGACTGGAGATATAAATTTGGTTATCACAAATAGTGTGTAGGTCGCTGGGCTTGGAGGATGGGTGACTGTAGGTGTGCACTGGAGAGTGTGGAAGGAAGCAGCGTAAATAAGGGGCCTCGGAGGGGGTCTTCACGATTTAGTCTTGAGCAAAGAGGAGGCCAGGGCATGAGCCAAGAAGCAGGAGATGTAGGGTTTGTGATGGAAATCAACTGGAAGTCTGTTGTCCTGGAAGCCAGGGGTGCGAAGGAAGCCAGGGTGTCACTGGGCATGGGCACCGGTGCCCAGTGCTGCTGAGATGTTAAGGGGGCTGGCAGGTGAGCGGTGACTGTCAGATTCGACAAGGAGGCACTCAGATGATCTTGGACAGTTCCAGAGAATGAGCATGAGAGCCTGCCTGCTCCACTGAGGAGAAAGAGGTGTGGAAAGGCAGATACACGATCCTGTGGGAGTGTTGCCATGAAAGGAGGAACAGAAATGGGGCTGGTGGGAGGAGGGCAGTCCAGAAAGGAAGCTTTTAAAAGGCAGATGCATACGGGGGCTGGGGATTTAGCTCAGCGGCATAAGCGCCTGCCTTGCAAGCAGGCAGTCGTGAGTTCGATCCCTGGTACCGATAAAAAACGAAAAAGACAAAAAAAAAAAAAAAAAAAAAAAAAAAAAAAAAAAGGCAGATGCATAGTCAGAGAGGAGTGGCCCCACAGCACAGAAGGAGCAATTGCAAAACCAAAATACTTGGGTAAGTAAGAAATTAGATTCAGTGTTTAAGTCAAAATAAAAAAACTAGAAATAAGTAAAATTGCAGAATGTCTGGAAAGTGGTGACAAAACCAACATCATCTATGCAAGCACTCTATATGGTTACAATTGCACTCAAAGGAAAATGCATAACCTCTACTCATTAAATAAAAAAGAGTGATAGTTACAAAGTATTTGACACAAAGGTTTAGAAAAAGAATCACAAAGTAAGTAAAGAGT